AAATTCCCCAAATTCCCAAAATTCCCCAAATTCCCAAAATTCCCATTTTTTTTTCCCCCCAGGGCAGCTGACGGCCGATGTGGGTGAGTCCGTCCCCAAATTCCCATTACTATTATTATTATTATTATTATTATTATTATTATTATTGTTATTATTATTATTATTATTGTTATTATTATTATTATTACAATTATAATTGTAAATATTAATATTAATATTATTATTTTGTTATTATTATTATTATTATTATTATTATTATTGCTATTATCGTTATTATTGTTGTTATCACCGCTTTTATCGTTATTATTAGCGCTAATATTACTATTATTACTATTATTATTAACGCTATTAATATTATTAAGTACAATCGGGTCAGAAATGGGCGCTGGGGATTATTGTTATTATTAATATTATTTTTAATTTTTATTTTTAATTTATTTGGGTTTTTTATTATTTCTACTTCTACTGTTGGAATTATTTTATTTCGATTTTTATTATTATTATTGGTTTTTAATTTCTATTTTATTATTTTTATTTATTATTATTTTTATTTTTTTATTGTTATTATTGTTACTATTCCCATTATTTCTATTTCTATTATTATTATTTTATTTTTATTTCTATTTCTATTTTATTATTTTTATTATTTTTATTTAATTCATTCTTATTTCTATTTCAATTTTAATATTTCATTATTTTTATTTAATTTATTCTTATTTTTATTTCTATTTCTATTTTAATATTTTATTATTTTTATTTAATTTATTCTTATTTCTATTCCTATTTCCGTTTTATTATTTTCATTATTTTCATTATTTTTATTTTATTCATTGTTATTATTTCTATTTCTATTTTATTATTCTCATTATTTTCATTATTTTCATTATTTTTATTTTATTCATTTTCCATTTCCAGACGTCATCAACAAAAAGCTCCGTGAGTTCCACAATTTTCCATTGATTAATTGATTAATTAAATTATTAATTAATTCCTTAATTAGAGTTGTTAATTGTAACAATTCCGGGAAAATCTCGATTTGGGGAATTCCCAATTAAAATTCCCAATTAAAAATTCTCAATTAAAAATTCCCAATTTAGAATTCCAAATTTCAAATTCCCAATTAAAATTTCCCACATTTAAAAATCCAAATTTCAAATTCCAAAATTTCAAATTCCCAATTAAAAATTCCCAATTTAAAAATTCCCAATTAAAATTCCAAATTAAAAATTCAGAATTTCCAATTCCCAATTCAAAATTCCCAAATTTCAAATTCCCAATTTCAAAATTCCCAATTAAAAACTCCCAAATTAAACAATTCCCAATTAAACAATTCCCAATTAAAAATTCCAAATTTCAAATTCCCAAATTTAAAATCCAATTTCAAAATTCCCAATTAAAAATTCCCAATTAAAATTCCAAATTAAAATTTCCCAAATTTCAAATTCCCAATTAAAAATTCCAAATTTAAAAATCCAAATTTAAAAATCCGAATTAAAAATTCCCAATTAAACAATTCCCAATTTAAAATCCCCAAATTAAAATCCCCAATTGAAAATTCCAATTAAAAATTCCAATTAAAAATCCCCAAATTAACAATTCCCAATTAAAAATTCCAATTTAAAATTCCCAATTCAAAATTCCCAAATTAAAATTCCCAAATTTCAAATTCCCAATTAAAAATTCCCAATTAAACAATTCCCAATTAAAAATCCCCAAATTAAAATTTCCCGAATTAAAAATTCCCAATTAAAATTCCCAAATTAAAATTTCCCAATTAAAATTCCAAATTAAAAATTCCAAATTTCAAATTCCCAATTAAAAATCCCCAAATTAAAAATCCCCAAATTAAAATTTCCCAAATTAAAAATTCCAATTTAAAATTCCCAATTAAAATTCCAATTAAAAATCCCCAAATTAAAAATCCCCAAATTAAAATTTCCCAAATTAAAAATTCCAATTAAAAATTCCCAATTAAAATTCCAATTAAAATTCCCAATTAAAATTTCCCAATTTTTTCCTTTTTTTTTTCCCCAGGGGAGCGCGAGGCTGAGCTGGGTGAGGAATTTTCCCTTTTTTGGGGTTTTGGGGGTTTTTTATTTTTATTTTTATTTAATTTTTTTTATTTATTGGGGTTTTTATTTTTGGGGTTTTCGGGGATTTTTTATTTTTTGGGGATTTTTTATTTTTTGGGGTTTTTATTTTTTGGGGATTTTTTATTTTT